TCCAAAGAGGCATCAACTGATAAATGGATAAATAAAATGTGGTATATATCCACACAATGGAATATTATTCATCTATAAAAAGGAATGAAGTACTGATAGATGCTCCAACAAGGATGAACCTTGAAAACATTATGCTAAGAAAAAGACGCCAGTCACAAAAGACTAACATAGTATTTCATACATTCATATGAAATATCCAGAATAGGCAAATCTATAGACAAAGAAAGTAGATTAGCGTGACTAGGGTGTATATGTGCATGAGGGGAGGGAGTAACTGCTAAAGGGTGCAGGGTCTCTTTCTGGAGTCATGAAAATGTTCTAAAATTGACTGGTGATGACTAGACAACTCAGGATATACTGAAAACCATGAACTGTACACATCAAATGGATGAATTTTATGGTATGTGAATTATATCTAAATAATGCTATTAAAAAATAGAATGTATATTGCAGAAAAACAAATGTATATTTGCAAAAATAAACGTAAGGATAAATATTTATTTTTTTGTGTGTGAGGAAGATCAGCCCTGAGCGAACATCCATGCCAATCCTCCTCTTTTTGCTGAGGAAGACTGGCCCTGAGCTAACATCTGTGCCTATCTTCCTCCACTTTATATGGGATGCCGCCACACCATGGCCTGACAAGGGGTGCATCGGTGCACGTCCGGGATCCAAACCCAGGCCACCAGCAGCGGAGGGCGCGCACTTAACCACTATGCCACAGGGCCAGCCCTAACAGAAAATAATTTTAAATGATCACCTGCTGATGATGGAAAGGACCATCCACCTACTAAGATGGAGGTGATGAAGGAAAGTACAAACAGAAGAAACTGGGATAGGTGCAAGACTTCTCTGAATGATCTTTTTATGTAATTTCCATTTTGAAAGTATACAAATGTTTTGCATATAAAAATAAAATTAAAATAATAAAAAAGATACCCCTACAAATGAAAACGAACTTGATCGGATTAACCTACCTTTCAAATCATTGGCATAACTTAGCGACTACAGAAGACAGTATTATGGAAGTAACAAGGGTACTAACTCCTCACTCTGAAAACTGGCACTTAAAGAATTCTTAGTGAAATAGATATGAAGGAAAAGTAATACTCCAAAGAAATCTTAAATTTTATTCTGTAGTCAGACAAATATTTTGACAATATTTTATACACATTATAGGAAAATGTAAATAAGCCAGCCACTTAGATGGCCACCAATGATCCCGCTGCCTGGTATGCAAATCCTAGTGTAGTCCCCTTCCACACTGTACCAGGTTCGCCTTGTGTGGCAGAACTTACGGTAAGTCACTTCCAAGGTTAGGTTGTGAACCACACTACAGCTTCCACTCACATCAGTTTCTCTCTGAATACTCATTTCGGGAGAAGCCAGCTGCCACATTATCCTGCCAACAGCTCTGGATCTAGAAGCAGATCTCCAGCCCCAGTTAAGCCTTCAGACAACTACAGCTCTAGCCAGTATATTGTCTGCAACTTCGTAAGACAGTCTGAGGCAGAACCACACAGCTAAGCCGCTCCTGGATTCCTGACCCTCAGAAACTGTGAAATAATGTATGTTTGTTGTTTTAGGCAGCTAAGCTTTATGGAAATTTGTGAAAAGATAGACAATAAAGTTACTATTTTTTACAAGATTTTCAGTGTAAGAGAATAAGACATGCAAGCAAAAAGTCACAGAAAAATCTTGCAATGTTAACTTGAACTGGATATATCAATATGCATTACTGAATTTTTGAAAAGAAAAAAATATTTCCTAGTTTTGTCCACTGAAAAGGCCTAGAAGCAATAACTCAATAGCAATGAACACATCCAACGACCACAACATAGTTTCTAAATACTATTTCCCAGCAACAAGAATCAGGGTTCCTTGGAGGAATACTGATCCAGGTCTGGGGTTAGAAAAAGATTAGCTTGAGACATCTTATTTGTAGCAGGAAGTAAGGAAGCCATCAGAGACAAATGAGCAGTACCAAAAGGAAACAGGAGCCAACTTGAGGGGACTGCTCTTGATCAAAGACGGGATAACGCAAAAAAGAATAATTAATCGTCTGAAACACAATAAATACATAAAAGCACATGAAAATCCATGCATTCCTAATATATATACACTTTTAATAAGAAGAAAAGACAAGGGGGAGAAAGTCACATTCTTAAAAAAAAATTTCACTGGACACTATTGAAAGTAACAAGAGCACCAACTCCTCACTGAAAATTGGCACTTAAAACAATTTAAGCACTTAAATCCAAGCATTTATCCTAACCTTCCTGTACAAACTATTTCAGGATGACCAAATAGCCCTAGTTGAAAAGAATAGGCTCTTACAGAATGATTCTAGCTAATAAATGGAGAAGAAATGCTAGGAATTTGGAACCCAGCGTTTTCAAACTCCTAATTGCAGTGGTTTTCAAAGTCTGGTCCCAAACCAGCAGTATCACCAGGCTACTGGTTTTATAAATTGCACTAGAAATGTAAACTCTCAGGCTGTGCCCCAAACCTACTAAATTAGAAACTCTGGAGATGAGGCCAATCTGTGCTTTTAACAAACTCTCCAAGTGACTCATTTGAGAACCACAGCCCTAATGAAAAAATGATGTTAAGCATCAATCACCAATGAATTAGATGAAGGATCAATAGCAAACTTTACAACTGGGGAGGGGAAAGATCAGGCTAACACCACCTGAGCCCTTAATCAATCTCATCATAACTCAAAGTAGGACCAGATACTGGCACTCACAACCATGTATTAAGTATTCTTACCTCTTCCACAAAAAAGTTAAACCTGAATGTAATCAATGATATCACAAGAAGTAAAGAAACAAATCTAGAATGTGGGACGTACTACATAACGACTGGTTTCTGCCACAAAGCAACAGCAGGGGGGAAAATGGCAGGGGAACTACAAAGACATGTAATAAATGCAAGAATGTGTAGATCTTACTTTGACCCATATTCAAAACAAGCCAACTATAGAAATATATTCTTGACTCAATCAGAGTAATCTGATTATAGTGGTTATTAGATGATAAAAAGGAATTACTGTTTATTTTATAAAGTGTGATAGCACTCTGGCTACCTAAGAAAAATGTCCATTAACTTGTAAAAGATACAAACTAAGTATGTAGGAATGAAATGGCATGATGTCTGGGATTTGTTTTAAATACTTCAGCAAAGAAACAAAACACACCTGAAGTAAATATGGCAAAATCTTGATAACTATCGAATCCGAATGACAGACAAAACAAATATTTAATCACCTCCCATCTTCTTAGCATTGCACATGTTTACAGCTGATGTTCTTTGCAGTGTGCCTGTTCTAACTTACCAGAAATGCCTCTACAAAACTGGCCAAAGTACTCTCAGAGTATGTCATTTCTCCTATTAAAACAACAGTGCATCGTGAAGGGAAAGTGCATCTCTCATATCAGAGAGCTATACTGTAGTGCTTGCTTTCACTGCAATCATCTTTTATATTTGAACATAAAAATGTTTCCACTGCATTAAGTAATCATTAAAATAGCAGTAATATATGAACACCTTAATATTAACCTCATTCAAAATGGCACTAGGGCCGGCTCTGTGGCTTAGCGGTTAAGTGCGCGCGCTCTGATGCTGGCGGCCCGGGTTCGGATCCCGGGAGCGCCCGGAGGCACCACTTCTCCGTCCAACGCGAGGCCGAGTCCCGCGTACAGCAACTAGAAGGATGTGAACCTATGACATACAACTATCTACTGGGGCTTTGGGGGGAAAAAGCTGAATAAATAAAAAATCTTCAAAATGGCACTAAAAGAAACTTTCCTCCCCTAAATTTTTTCAGGCCCTCAGAATAAGATTAATCCCATAACTAGATAACTTTAAATTATCTAAGGTAGAGTTCTTTCATCAGGTTCCAGTGTTCTGAGGCAAAGTTAAAGGATATCATATGTGTTAAAAAAAACTATTAAGAGTTTTAATTATTAACATCCACAAATCATGATTATTTCAAACACTTCGGAAAGCTTATTAAGAAGTGAAATTTTTATGTCAGGAGGGTAATTACTGGGCATTGATAAATGCCTTTTTTATAGAAATCATTCTACTTTCTATTGTTTCTCAATAAAATGATAGTCATTAATTGCCCTCAATTACTTGGATGGTAAAAAGGGGGACCGTTTAGCATTTTTCTTTTTTTTTGTGAGGAAGATCAGCCCTGAGCTAACATCCGATGCCAATCCTCCGCTTTTTTTGCTGAGGAAGACTGGCCGTGGGCTAACATCCATGCCCATCTTCCTCTACTTTATATGGGACGCCGCCACAGCATGGCTTGACAAGCGGTGTGTCGGTGCGCGCCCAGGATCCGAACCTGTGAACCCTCGAGCCGCTGAAGCAGAGCACGTGCACTTAACCGCTGCACTACCGGGCCGGCCCCCAAGCATTTTTCAATATTAAAAGATTTCCTTTTAAGATAAATATGTGTTTTCTTCTAGGCTCTTTAATCACACAAGTATAGAATCCAGATTATACAGTTAGATTATACAACATTCTCATTTTAGAGATGAGGAAACATCCCTCTAATAGGATTTTGATGGTTTTTGAAGTAAGCTGCTCTCTGCTCAAATAAATTCTGGATTTGGGGTAAAAAATTTTATGTCAGTATAAAATAAGAAGGTCGGCAATCTGGTAAATTAATTTAGCAAACCCTCTATTCAAATTTAACATTGAAAAATTCAAAATTCAATTATTCTTTCTGAAGAGGATCCTCAACAATCACAACTGACAAGCATGTCTTCTCCCGTTTTTGTTCATAAAAACAAAACCGTATGCATTTGAAGTGTGCATAAGGTATGCTTCTGAATACCGTCTGTAATGCTGTGCATCAAAAGTCAATGCACAGCCTTATCAAAAGTCGAAGCTGAACCACAAATATTTATTCACTATAAACCGAGTTACTTAATTCATGCAGCATGCAGACTACAAGCAAACACAGCCAGGATTATTCTCACCTTTACCTGCTCTATATGTCTTGGCTTGATTCACAGGCATGGGCGTCATAGGTATAGGGTATAAAGGCTTGAGGGAATTAAAAAAAAAAGATTAGGCTCTCAAGATAATAAGACTGTATTTTACCACTCTCTCTTGGTTGTATATTGCTAGCGTGCTAGCTCTGAGGTTTCCTGAGTCTCTGAGTCATTAAAAAATGAAATAACACCCATAGCTAAAAGGAAAAACCCCGAATGACAGTAAATCTAAACCATCTGTCTCACCAGAAAACACTCTCAGCTTTAGGTCCTTATACTAACAACACACCACACCACTGCATGCCTCCCCATTTCAAATACTTCGGCTACTATCTCTGCCTCAAGTCACCGCACACCTCAGAGTGCCTGGTGTCAAATACAGACAACTAGGGAGGGCAAATGCACGTCAAATTCTAGGACTTACTTGCACGCCTGGGCTCACTGGGACTGGATACATCATATTTGGTGCAAAACAAACAGGCTGAGTATAAACTGGCGTTGGCTGCTGATGACCCACCATAGACGGGCTAGGTTGTGCTTGAGGACGAGGTGAAGTTGGGGTAGTAGAAGGCTTTGGCTACAGAAACATAAATCAACTATCTTAAGACGAAAAGCTAAATATTATTGTAATTTGAAGACTGACTTTCCCCACGTTCCTAAGTTTTACTCACTTCTAGTTAGTCCCTTTTAAGGAAAAAAATTATAGAAAATAAACTTACACGTTTCAAATAAAAGAAAAACTATTTTAGCAGAAATTTAAAGTAAAATTTTGCCAATTACTCAATAATATTATTAAAAATAGTAGTGGTGAGGGGCCAGCACCGTGGCATAGTGGTTAAATTTGGCGCACTCCGCTTTGGAGGCCCAAGTTTGTGGGTTTGGATCCTGGCGGGACCTACACCACTCGTCAGCCATGCTGTGGCGGCAACCCATATAAAGTGGAGGAAGACTGGCACGGATATTAGCTCAGAGCTAATGTTCCTCAGCAAAAAAAAAAAAAAAAAGTAGCAGTGATTTTAAGGAACTGGAAAAAATGTTTTCAAAAATTAAAAAATAAATCTATCTTATTACAGATCCAGTAAGAATAATAATAACAGTATATCTATGAACCTGAGAGCCTACCTAGCCAACCATCTTCAAATTCTAAGTCAGACAGATTCAAAGATTTGCCCCAGATCACACCTAATTGATGACAAACCAAGGATCTTATCTATGGCTCAAAAATATCCATTAATGATCATATAAGAAAAAGGAACTTAAACTAAAAATTGTTTTAGCATACTACAACTGAATTTAGATGGCAGGTATGGGAATAAGAATACTACTAACAAATTTATTTTTTTAGGGACAAGATTACTTCAGAGAGAGAAACAAACTTACCTGAGAAAAGGAACGAGGGTTGAACTCCTTTGCATTGGGATTCAATGTTGATTTCCTCACTTGCCTAAACCAGAAAAAAAAAAATAAAGGCCAGTGAAATCTGCATGGAACTTACATTTCTCTGAAGTCTTGTATACCTGACAGTTTTTTTTTTGTCCTCCCCAAAGCCCCAGTACATGGTTGTATACCCTAGTTTTAAGTCCTTCTAGTCCTTCTAGTTCTTCTATGTGAGCTGCCACCACAGCATGGCAACTGACAGACTGGTGGTGTGGTTCTGCGACCAGGGAGCTAACCCGGGCTGGTGAAGCGGTGAGCACCGAATTTGAACCACTAGGACATCAGGGCTGGCCTGACAGCTTTTTCAAAAAATTGCTAAACATATATTAGATTTAAACAATTTTCACTGACAGATCATTACTGCTCTTCGTTAAAACACATAACATATTTCCCACTCCTTAATCTGATAAAGACTGGCTAAAAAAAGGACGAATTTTTTAAAAAGTATAATATACAATGCTCCTCTCAAAGGCAATTAACAAATATTTAAACTGAAAAGACAACAGCCCCTTACAAAATCCCCTTAAAAGCAACCCTTAGGGGCCAGGCCAGTGGCGTAGTGGTTAAGTTCACGCCCTCCACTTCAGCGGCCCAGGGGTTGCAGGTTTGGATCCCAGGCATGGACCAATGCACCACTCATCAAGCCATGCTGTGGAGGCATGCCATATACAAAATAGAGGAAGATGGGCACAGATGTTAGCCCAGGGCCAATCTTCCTCAACAAAAAGAGGAAGATCAGCAACGGATGGTAGCTCATGGCCAAGCTTCCTCACAAAAAAAAAAAAAAAAAAAGCAACCCTTAATATACCAATTCTGTAACATGTGGTATTTTTTAACATGACAGTGTTTCCTACATGACATACCTTGGGAAAAATCATTACTCATAAAAATCATAAAAATTTTTGCCTCAAATCAAGAATAAGCACTCCCTGAATTATCAACAAGCTGCAATCCAAAAGTTCAGCACTAACTGGGTTCTACAGAACCCAGAACAAATAAATCAATGGTAGTTAGGTTAGGTTCTGAGGCTAGCCCACAAAAGTCTATTTAGTCGATAATATATGGCATATGCAGAATTACGTCTATCTTAACAAATCTAACCATTAACTAAAACATCGTTTCTGATGGAAAACACACTGAATTCCAAATAGGGACACCAGATACTTCTCTCTCTTCTTGTGGTGGCAGGTCTTAGTCCTAGCAGCACAGCCAGGAGGCGGGCACTGACTAGCATCCGAGGGATATAGGTCCCAAAAGCCAGTAATGTTTCAACTCCTATACCTTTACAGAAAAGCCTTTCTAAATTATGTCTAGGTTTTTTTGGCATGGGGTGCAAAAATGAGGGAGGAGGGAAGAGGCATACTAATTTACTTAAGATGTCAACTGCTTAAACCAGTTGTTTCTAAGTTGAGGGCTACCTATAAAACAGTCTAAAAGTCCAGGATAGATTTCTGAGTTGGAAGGCCCTGGACACCTTAAAAAAAGGTTAAGCAAGCAAAAGGATGTGCTAATTTCCAGATTTACTCACTCAGCTGCATCTTTCTTCTCCTCTTTATCATCCTTCTCCTGTTTACACCCGGGGCTGGAAGTCTGAACACCCTGGGATGTGACCTCAGGGCCCCTCCTGTGCTCCGCATCACTGAGGAGGGAAGGGGACACGCTGGGGCTGCTGGGCTTGCTGCTGCCGCTATTTTCAATCAAAGAATCCTTAGCATTTGGTTCAATTTTGTCCTTGATCAAATCTCTTGATTTTTCTCCCTCTCTATTTTTGTTTAGCAGTTGATCCATAGATTCAGAAGTAGAACTTGGTTGTAACTAAATAAAGGAAATAAATATATTTTAAATAACTCTAGTAATCAATTTTCTCCATGAGAATAAGCAAACCGATATTATTTGTAAGCATAAAATATATTAACAAAGCTTTTTTCATAATTGAAGAGTAATGTTTTTATTATAAAGCAACAATAACAAAACATCTATACAACACAACCACAGTCATCTAAGCACTGTAATGACCTAGCTTCAGAAGTTAAATATTTACCGAGTGTCAAAAATTGTGCCTGCTGGGTATGGAAAATATTAAATAGTTCCTATCCTCCCAAAGTTTACCATCTGGGTGGGTTCAGATACTTAACAAAATGGAATAAATCCTATGGGATCCTATAGGAAAAAGCAACTTACAGAAAGAGAAGGCTTCTCGGGGGCCGGCCCCGTGGCATAGCGGTTAAGTGCGTGCACTCAGCTGCTGGTGGCCCGGGTTCGGATCCTGGGCACGCAGCGAGGCACCCCTTGTCAGGCCGTGCTGTGGCGGCGTCCCACATAAAGTGGAGGAGGATGGGCACAGATGTTAGCTCAGGGCCGGTCTTCCTCAAAAAAAAAAAAAAAAAAAGAGAGAGAGAAGGCTTCTCAATGGAAGCGTCATCTACGCGAAAGCGTCCAAGACGTTTGGCGGGGGGACAGTGTGGAAAAGGGAACAGTCTAAGCAAAAGACACAGCATGTTTAAAATTCCAAGGGAAAGGGAAAAGATGGCCCTGTTGTGAAACAGAAAGCACTAGTGGCTGGAGCAAGGGTAGACATATATGCACGAATGAGTCAAGAAATGACAAACTCACCCAAGAGAAATGAGATGATAAAAAAACTTGAAAGCTATTTTTTTTTTTTTTTTTGGTAAGGAAGATTGGCCCTGAGCTAACATCTGTGCCCATCTTCCTCTATTTTGTATGTGGGACGCCGCCACAACACGGCTTGATGGGTGGTGCATAGGTCCGCACCTGGAATCCAAACCTGCAAACCCCGGGCCACCAAAGCAGAGTGCGCAAATCCAACCACTATGCCACCGGGCTGGCCCCAAGGACTATAGCTTTTAATTTTCAGGATACTGAGAAATCACTGAAGAATTTCAATCAGGTATAGTACTGAGCAGCTTTCTAGTTCACAATGACAAGCAGAGCAGCTTTGTGGAAAATGAATTGGAGGGAGCCAAGTGAGGATGCAGAGAGACCATCATGGAGGCTGGACTAAGACCTGGGCCTGGCCTCGAGAACTGGTGGGGTGGAAAGTCAGAAGTAGGTGGATTCAGAGGGAGACCTGACTAGACATGTTGGTCAGTTAGACTTTCTAAACCCAGTAAGTAAAGAAGGAGACCTCAAAACACAAGTACCATCAAGAAAAGCAGAAGACAAAGATGTCAGTGAAGGGTTTTTAAGTCTGCAGGCCAGAAGAATTCAATGCTACTACTGTCTGAAGGTGATTTAAGATGCCATACTCCACAGAAAAAAGAAAACAGGGACAGCTGAAGAAAATGACAAGAAAAAGACAAGAAGAAGGGCCGCAAGTAGAAGCAGCCAGGGTGGAAATGAGAACACACACAAGCAGCAGCCCCAGGCGGTCAGAGTAAGCCAAAGAGCACCTGCACAGCAGAAGGGGCCGCAGCACAGGAGAGAGACAAGCCATCTCCTCAGCCCCAGGATGGGCACACCAGTGTCAAAGTCTCACTGCTGAGGCCCCTGGCATCCCAGCAAGTGACATTAGACATCTCAAGCTTCTCTGCATCACCAATATAGTCATAGTCCTCAAGTAGCTGAGGGCAAAAGATGATAGGGACATTTATCTGAACCCAGTGGCAATTTAAGTCACAATATAGGCAATGTTTAAGCCAGCATTTATTCACAAAAATCTTCAGTAGAGGCTACACACATAACAGACCAACTGTGTACTGCAGAAGACTTCTTGAGGGTTTACCACAAGGGTCTCTGTTTGAAGCAAAAATGAGACTTCTGTTATTGTTATTCACATAATGGCAAAGATATCTATAGGACTATGAGTTGGACATTGTTCTAAACTACTTACAAACTCATTCATTTAGTGATTACAGCAGCCCTATCTGATGTAGGTACTATTATCGCCATCTTACAAATGGGGAAACTGAGGCACAATTCATGCTTTTGAGCATTCTGCTATATTTCTTATCTGCAGTATACTAAACCTAAGGAAAAACTGATATTTTTTTCCCCCCAAACTGAACCACTTTTTTCTTCTATTGAGGTATAATTGACATATAACATTGTATTAGTTTCAAGTATACGACGTAATGATTCAATATACGTATGTATTGGGAAATCACAGTACGTCTAGTTAACAGCCATCACCACTCAGTTACAATTTTTTTTATGATGAGAACTTTTAAGATTTACTCTCTCAGCAACCTTCAAACATACAATACAGTATTACTGACTACAGTCACCATGCTGTACATTACATCCCATGGTTTATTTTATAACTGGAAATTTGCACCCTTTGTCCACCTTCACCCATTTTCTGTACCACATTTTCTTGATCTAGTCATCCATCGATGGACACTTACGTTGCTTCCATGTCTTGGCTACTGTAAATAATGCCACAGTGAACATGGGGGTGCAGATATCTTTTCGAGTCAGTGTTTTCGTTTCTTTCGGATAAATACCCAGAAGTGGGATAGCTGGATTATACAATAGCTCTATTGTTAATTTTTTGAGGAACCTGCATACCGTTTTCCATAGTAGCTGCACCACGTTACATTCCCACCAGCAGTGCACAAAGGTTCCCTTTTCTCCACATCCTCCCCAGCACTTGTTATATCTTTTTTTTTTTTTATAATTTTTATTTATTTATTTATTTATTTATTTTTCCCCCAAAGCCCCAGTAGATAGTTGTATGTCATAGCTGCACATCCTTCCAGTTGCTGCATGTGGGACACGGCCCCAGCATGGCCGGAGAAGCGGTGCGTCGGTGCGCGCCCGGGATCCGAACCCGGGCTGCCAGCATTGGAGTGCATGCACTTAACCGCTAAGCCACGGGGCGGCCCAGTATTTCTTATCTTTTTGATAACAGCCATTCTAACAGGTGTGAGGTGATATCTCATTGTGTTTTTGATTTCCCTGAAGATTAGTGATGGTGAGCACCTTTTCACAGACCTGTTGGCCCTCTGAATGTCGTCTTTGAGAAAATATCTATTCAGATCGTCTGCCCTTAATCAGGTTGTTTTTTTTGCTACTGACTTGTATGAGTTCTTTATATACTTTAGATATTAACTTTTTATCAGATACATGATTTACAAATATTTTCTCCATTCTGTAGGTTTCCTTTTCATTTTGAAGATGATTTCCTTTGCTGTGCAGAAGCTTTAGTTTGATATAGTCCCAGTTTATTTTTGCTTTTGTTGCCTTTGCTTCTGGTGTCAAATCAAAAAAACCAATGTCACAGCCTATGTCAACGAGTTTACTGCCTGTGTTTTCTTCCAGGAGTTTTATAGTTCAAGTTCTACATTCAAGTCTTTAATCTATTTTAAGTTAATTTTTGTGTATGGTGTAAGACAGTGGTCGTTTTCCCAATACCATTTATTGAAGAGACTGTCTTTTCCTCATTGTATATTAGCTCCTTTGTCCTAAATTAATCAACCATATATATGAGTTTACTTCTGAGCTCTCTATTCTGTACTATTGATCTGTGTGTCTGTTTTTATGCCAATACCATGCTGTTTTGATCACTATAGCTTTGTACTACAGTTTGACATCAGAGAGTGAGATGTCTTCAGTTGTGTTGTTTTTTCTCAAGATTGCTTTGGCTACTCAGGGTCTTTTGTGGTTCCATAAAAATTTCAGGATTGTTTGTTCTATTTATGTGAAAAATGACATTGGAATTTTGATAGGGATTGTATTGAATCTGTAGATTGCTTTGGGTAGTTTGGACATTTTATAGAAAGACTGAAATTCTTTTTTTTTTTTTTTGAGCAAGATTTGCCTTGAGCTAACATCTGTTGCCCATCTTCCTTTCTTCTCCCCAAAGTCCCAGCAGATAATTGTACGTCATAGTTGTATATCCTTCTAGTTGCTCTATGTGGATGTCGCCTCAGCTTGGCTGGATGAGCGGTGGGTGGGTCTGTACCCAGGATCCGAACCGGCAAACCCTGGGCCACCGAAGCGGAGCGCGCGAACTCAACCACTACGCCACTGGGCCGGCCCCTGAAATACTTATGTAACTCAGATAACAAGAAAATCTTGATCGCCAGTACAGTTGTGGTCATCTATATTTTGGTAATAGGAATTAATATTTATTGAGTACATACTATGTGTCACATGATATTAAAGACTTTACAGACTGCATCTCATTTAATTCTCACAAGAACATCATGAACAATTATTCCATTTTGGCTTAGGGGAAGTAGATAACATGCCTCAATGTTATACATACAGTGTGTGTGGGGCAAGATTTAAAACCCAGATCATCTACTTACCTCCAAAACCCACACCATTAACCTATAACAGATCACATTACTAGCAATTCATCACATTACTAGCAATTCTTACAGAAATAAAGCTATCAGCACCCAGCACATAGCTATATTAGAGCCTGCAGATAGCTCTAAAGGGGAAAAAAAAAAAAAACCCACAAACCAAAGGGTACTCCTATTTCCGTCTTAATGAAAGACCAGAGATTTTTGTGAACCATCACAGTTCAAGGCCATGGGAACATCATGCGAGTGGCTCTAATTTAACTGAACAATGTAGTACCTATTACGTATTCGCTACCGTCCAAAGCATTGTGAGAAGCTTAAACACACAGATGGCCAGTACCATGTTTTACTAGCCATGTGACTATGGCAAATTATTTAACTTGTCTTTGCCTCAGTTTCCTAACATACACACTGGGGATAATAATAGAACCTGCTTCAAAGGGATGTTAGGACAATAAAGAGTTTATCACATAAGCACTTAGAATTTTCTAAGTGTCTGATACATAGGAAATATCAATAAATGTAAACTAATAACATTATTTTATCTGAAGAGAATATAAAGCTCACTTTCAAACATTTTTAAAAACCATTTCTTTGCTTTCTAGTACTCACTTACAGACCAGAAAGTTATTCATAAGAGACTTTAATAGTACTTTTGATTATTCAGGCCCCAAACAGTAATAAGACTAGAAGTCCTAAGGAGATAAAGTTTTTTTTTTTTTTTTTAATTTTTTATTTATTCATTTATTTTCCCCCCAAAGCCCCAGTAGATAGTTGTATGTCATAGGTTCGCATCCTTCTAGTTGCTGTACGTGGGACTCGGCCTCGGGTTGGACGGAGAAGTGGTGCCTTGGGGCGTGCCCGGGATCCGAACCCGGGCCGCCAGCATCAGAGTGCGCACACTTAACCGCTAAGCCACGGAGCCGGCCCCATAAGGAGATAAAGTTTTAATGGTGCACCTACCCAGATTTTAAGAGTCAAGTATTAAAGAAGGTTTACAGACAGCTGTGAACTGATAATATGAGAGCCAAAATGTTTTCTACTAAATGAAGAAGTCATATGCTTTTTAAAATACAGTCATGTCACTTAACGACAGGGATATGTACTGAGAAATGCGTCGTTAGGCAATTTTATCATTGTGCAAACACCACCGAGTGTACTTACACAAACCTAGACAGGATAGCCTGCTACACACCTAGGCTCTATGGTACTGATCTTATGGGACCACCATCGTATATGCAGTTTGTCGTTGACTGAAATGTCGTTATGTGGCGCATGACTGTACTAATTCTAATCGAGATAGTGTGGTACTGGCATTAAGGATAGACATATAGATCTTTGGAGAATTGAGAGTCCAGTAATAAACCCTCACATTTGTGCATTTGTGGTCAACTGATTTTCCTTTTTTTTCCGAGGAAGATCAGCCCTGAGCTAACATCCATGCTAATCCTCCTCTTTTTGCTGAGGAAGATCGGCTCTGAGCTAACATCTATTGCCAATCCTCCTCCCTCCCCTCCGCCCAAAGCCCCAGTAGATAGTTGTATGTCATAGTTGCACATCCTTCTAGTTGCTGTATGTGGGACACGGCCTCAGCATGGCCGGAGAAGCGGTGCATCGGTGCACGCCCGGGATCCAAACCCGGGCCTCGAGGAGCGGAGCGCGCGCACTTAACCGCCAAGCCATGGGGCCGGCCCTCAACTGCTTTTCAACAAGGGTGCAAAGACAATTCAATTCAATGTCTTTTCAACAGAGGGTGCTGGGATAAATGATATCCACATGCAAAAGAATGAATTTGGAACCCTATCTGACATCACCTAAAAAAATTCCTCAAAATGGATCAAAGCCCTAAATGAAACTCTTAGAAGAAATTAAGAGCAAATCTTTACAGCCCTAGATTAGGAAATGGTTTCTTAGATATGACACCAAAAGCATAAGCAACAAAAGAAAAAACAGATAAACAGGACCTCATCAAAACTAAAAATTTTTGTGCTTTAACAGACAACATCAAGAAAGTGAAAAGACAACTCACAGAAGGGGGAAAAAATTTGCAAACCATGTATCTGATGTGAGACTTGTACACAGAATATATAAAGAACTCTTACAACTCAATAATAAAAAGACAGATAATTTTTAAAATGGGCAAAAGATCTAAATGGGTATTTCTCCAAAGAATATATACAAATGGCCAATAAACACATAAAAAGATGATCAACATATTAGCCAACAGAAATGCAAATCAAAACCACAATGAGATACTACAAGGATGACTATAATCAAAAAGACAGTAATAAGTATTGGGGAAGATGTGGACAAACAGAAACCCTCATATGCTGCTGGTGGGAATGTAAAACACTACAGTTGCTTTGACAAATAGTCTGGAAGTTTTCTTCAAAAGATTAAAGACAGAGTTACCATATGGCCCAGAAATTCCACTTTTATGTATACGCCCAAGAGAAATGAAAACATATGTCCTCAAAAAAAACTGAACACTAATATTCATAGCAGCATTATTCTTTTTTGTGTGTGTGTGAGGAAGACCAGCCCTGTGCTAACATCTGCCAATCCTCCTCTTTTTTTGCTAAGGAAGACTGGCCCTAGGCTAACGTATGTGCCCATCTTCCTCCACTTTACATGGGACGCTGCCACAGCACAGCTTGCCAAGCGATGCATCGGTGTGCGCCCGGGATCCGAACCGGTGAACCCCGGGCCGCCGCAGCAGAGGGCGCGCACTTAACCACTTGCGCCACCAGGCTGGCCCCAGCATTATTCTTCCCCACTCCCCCCCCCGCCCCCAAAGCCCCAGCAGACAGTTGTATGTCATAGGTGCACATCCTTCCAGCTACTACATGTGGGATGCGGCCTCAGCATGGCCGGAGAAGCGGTGCCCCGGTGCGTGCCCAGGATCCAAACCCGGGGCGCCAGTAGCGGAGCACCCACGCCATGGGGCCGGCCCCCCAGCATTATTCTTAATAGTCAAAAAGTGGGAACAACCCAAAGCCGCAACAACTGATGAATGGATAAATAAAACGTGGTACACCCATACAACGAATATTATTCATCCATAAGAAGGAATAAAGTACTAATAGATGCTCCAACATGCATGAACCTTGAACACATTAAGTGAAAGAAGTCAGTCACAAACACCACATATTGTATGATTCCCTTCATAAGAAAGGCCCAGAAGGGCCGGCCCCGTGGCTTAGTGGTTAAGTGCGTGCGCTCCGCTGCTGGTGGCCCTGGTTCGGATCCCGGGCGTGCACCGACGCACCACTTCTCCGGCCGTGCTGAGGCCGTGTCCCACATACAGCAACTAGAAGGATGTGCAGCTATGACATACAACTATCTACTGGGGCTTTGGGGGAAAAATAAATAAATAAATTAAAAAAAAAAAAAAAAGGTCCAGAATAGGCAAATCCATAGAGACAGAAAGGAGATTAGTGGTTGTTTAGGATTTGGGGGGAGGGAGGGGCAGTCTGAAAGAAAAGGAAGAGTGACTGCTAAGGGGTATGGGGTTTCTGTTTGGGATAAAGAAAATGTTCTAAAATTGACTGTGGTGATGGTTGTACAACTCTGTGAATATACTAAAAACCACTGAATTGTATACTTTAAATGGCTAAATTATATGATATGTAAATTACATCGCAATAAAACGGTTACCAAAAATATACTAATTCATATGCTTCGAAATAAAAATATTTCTTTCCTTCATAACATAATAAATTCAATGCAAGTATACTGTAAGAAGGGACTGAATGAATAACTGTAAAAAATAATGTTGAGCAGGACCAGCCTGGCGGTGCAGTGGTTAAGTTCACGTGCTCTGCTTCGGCGGACCGGGTTCACGGGTTCAGAGCCCAGGCGAGGACCTACACACCGCTCATCAAGCCATGCTGTGGAGGAAACCCACACGCAAAGTGGAGGAAGACTGGCACAGATGTTAGCTCAGAGCCAATCTTCCTCACGCAAAAAGAGGAAGATTGCCAACAGATGTTAGCTCAGGGCCAATCGTCCTCACCGAAAAAAAAATAATAATGCTGAGGAAATAAAAGCAAATGGGCAAGAATACCCGTAAAACAATATCATTTATATCAAAATGAAGGCTGTGCAAAATAATATCATCTAGTGCTCAGGGATCTATTCACATGCAGCGCAAAGAACTGCACAGGAAGGAAACCCTTCCCTCTGACAGGAGGTTGCAGCTGAGGAGGGCAAGTACATAGCAGCACTATTAACTGTGTTGGAGTGCTTGACATATTAAGCTGGGTAGTAGGCATCTGGGCATTCAGCCATTATTCTTTGTATCATGTCCATGAGTTAACTATAGCTTAAAAAATTAAAACAAGTTCACAACTGTTAACAGCATTAAAGCTGAATAGATAAATGTGCTAAAGTATGAAATAATAATGTAATATTTTGAATGGTGCAAATAAGTCAAGAATGAAGTTATAGGTAATAAATTATTAACTTTTAGGAAGTTAGAACATAGGCTAGGAAAAGGCTGCCTTCTGCCTTTGACTGACTCATCTTTTAAGTCAGTCAATTTTTCAAAGACTGATAATCAGATTTTTTTCCCTCTAAGAAGCTAAGTTTCAGAATGATTTCTTGAGTTGGCCTCAAAACATACCTAGATATGCAAAGTATACTATAGTAAATATTGTGCAAAACAATGAAATAGTCATCCAAGAGAGATTACATTATGTTCAGCAAGTCTTCAGATAGAGAAATGATATTATAGAAAGACGTCTACCACAATACATTTGCACACGAAGTGTAAATCTGCAACTACCTCAGAACACCAGGGTCCAGTTCATCTTCCACTTACCACATCAAATAATTAATGCCTTGGCCTTGCTCTACTCTTCACTGAACAAGATAATCAAATGAACATTAAATAATAACATGTTATGGTGGCTTCAAATGTCAGAATTATATATTCTCTTTCATTTGATATCTGTATTGTTCCTATCAAATCTCATGATTTTAGTCACCTCACTTAAAAGCATAGGCAAAGACAACTTAAAGAATGTTTAGCTTTCTACACACACAGTTCGATGTTTATGGGTGTATATATAATGCATTTTTGTAAATGGATGATATAAAAATTCTTAGTAATGTTTAATATTTATTTTTTAAAATTCTAATTCATTAGTCAATACACACTTACCCTAAAATCATTCTTAAATTTCTTTAAATCATCAATCTGTTTTCTATGTTCAGAAACAACTGGTGATATACCTGTAAAATTAAGAACTGTTAGATGCAGATTTATTTTTAATCTTTAACTTAAAATTCTTTTACGATGGGACGTTAGAAATGAAAATAAGCTCTATTATAAAAATAATAAAAATTTCAATTAATTACAGATTTTATGCATTTAAAAATGCACAAGACTAAGAAAAGTGTTGACCAAAAATATTCCGTATTGGGCATGAGATTAGACATACTCTTTCCTATTTCTACAGTTATACCTGAAGACTTGTTAAAGCTCTAACCTTTATTTTCAGCTTTTGAGAAGCTAGGTGATGTCTCACTGGGCTTCATATTTTCTTTATTCCCTGCAGGAGAGTTCTGCCTCTGATCTTGAAGCCTGGAATCCTTAGCTAGAAAATAATTTTGTTAAAAAATTCAAAGTTAGATAGAAGAAGTGAGGAAAGTAAAATGGGAAAATATTCAACAATTTTGATTTCCTACGTTTTTGGAAAAGAATATTTCCATTCAAACAGAGGGTCTTCTCCTTTGCAGACATATGAAACACCAATAATTTTATTTATATTGATATTTACCACCCAGGAATGTTAACCCTTTAACAACATTCAAGAAAAGCATATTTGAAATTAATAGTATTAAACAACTAACTTCATTTACATAAAATTTTAAATGTGCACTCAAATAGATACCTATGAATAAAATAACACAGCACTTTTCATACAACGTCCAACCTCTAACACTCAACTTCATAAATGACACCATGGATCTGGAAGCCCCTGCTTACATACCCTCAATAGATGGGGTAACAGCTCTGTTGGATGCAGGACTGGCAGGCGTAGGAGATGCAGCAGGAATAGGCATGGCAACAGCTTCAGTTGGAATAATGCCAGCCTGGGGAGAAGCAAGAACTGGCCCACTAGGAGTATTTCCAATACTGTTCTGTCTGGGAGACCTGGGTCTGTGAGTTTTAGGGGATAATCTTGGAACTAGAAGAAAGAGAAAAGTTATCCATTACATTCTCAGCTCAAATGTCACTTCCTCAAAGAGGCTTCTCTGAAGGTCTAGGTAAAATAGTGCTATCCGACCCCCATCCCAATTACTCTTTATCCCATCACCATGTTTTCTTTTCCAATGTCTTAGGCATAGTGGTGGTGATTGAGAATACAAATATCTGAAGAATGACAGCAATTACTAATACCTAAGTAAAACTGTACTTTTTCCTCCTAACTAAATACATTAATTCTAAAAGGCAGTATTTTAAATGAAGTTAGAAACTGGATTTCTAAGGCAGGATAAATGCCACTTTTAAAGATAAAGATAGCAACATTCTCTACTAAAAAGTGAGACTGTTTCTATAAAATAGGTGGGGGAAGAGTCCTAAAAAGTGGGCTTATTTGTTCCTCCTTCAAATAATAAAAAACTCAAACACCTGTTAGCATCTTGCAGCCAATCACATATGTTCTTTCTTGCCATATCAAGATCCACTCTGCATAACTAAGGAAATCGGGGACTCAATTTAGCCAAAAGGGGAAGATAATCCAGGCAGAGGTTCATATTCCACATGACTTCAAAATAAGTACCTAACACATTTCATATTCCATTATAAACCTATTCGTAGAGCTCAGATTCAAAGGTTTATAGAAAATGGTTCAATTTGCTTCACTTTAGTAGTTCTTTACTTTTTTAAGTCACAAAGTCATGGAAGGAAACTATTACTCAACAATTATTTTCTAATTAGCATATAGGGCAAACTTGTAACACTGTTCTGTGCATATCTCTAATAACTATGTTTTTACCCTTTCACCTCTATAATCATGTTGTTACTCTCAAAATTCATTTCCAGATCATCTGAGTAATGTCAAATGATTAATGGTACAACTGAAGAAATAAAGACTTCAGAAATTCTATTTTTTTTGTTAATTTAATTATTTCCTTATAACTGAAGACCAAAGAAGAAAATAGAAAGTGCAAAGGAATTTATAATAAAATTATATGTACGTAAAGCTGAGCACTGTATATCAACTAAAGACATTTAATAGAGTTGGGAATATTTTTGTTTGTTTAAGCTTAAAGATCCTTTTTCTTTAAGGGTCCTATGCACTGATTAAGATAGATTATGACAAAAAAATGCAATTATTACATGCTCAAACTCTCTACTTCAATTATCTCCACAATTATCTAGGAAGCAAAACATTAACAAGCAGTCTTAGCTAATTGTAAGAGCTTGTCAAAGTATATTTTTTTTTACACTTTTATAGCTGCTGTTGGCACATTCCTCCGAGTAATCACAGATAAAACTTGGGCCCCTCATCTGTGTTTGATATTCCTTATAAGGGAAATACAGTCAGAAATTAGTGCCATATACAGATGCTATAGACCCACACAGCAGTGTAAGCCCAAAATAAATGTTGCTAAGAAGACAGGAAATACAGTACCTCTAAACGGTGATACATACTGTATTTGTCTTATATTTGAGGGGTACTTTATACAACTATAAAGAATATTCATACTTATGAACCTCATGACTCTCATCATCAGTCCACAAAGCAGACTAGGCAAATTACTTTACTCATTGAGAAAACTGAAATTTATGATTTGCTCTAACATATAGTGAATAAATGGTAGAACCCAGAATAAAAATACTACAGGTTTTCCAAGTCCTGGTTACTCCACTATTTTTTATACACTTATACTGCCTCAAACAGATCTAAAGCCCAGCCCTTTTCACATCTAGTAGAATTACAACAGGAACATTGTCATTATGCTCCAAGCCAAGTGTTACCTACCCCCGCTGACCACTGATGACCACGTGCCTCCCGCAGGACTGGTCCTTGCTGCTGGAGGAGCAGCGGCTTCACTTGGTGGGGTGTGGGAAACAAATTCTAGGCCACTGGAAATGGAACCCCTCCCAGCAGAAACTCTGTGATTTCTAGGGTGTCGCTGGGCCTTTGGGGACATCCTTGGAGGCCCTAAGAAAGGAACAGTGAACATCACATAAATGCCACAACGTCCATCACTACTTTTCTGCTAAATAGACACATTCCATTCACACACACACACATTCACTCTCTCTCCAGTTTCTCCTCGGTTAAAAAAAAAGAGATAAAACACCATACATATTTCTGGCCACACTCTTTCAGAATTATTTTGTGGAATGACACAAAGTTTTATAAATAAATTTTATTTTATTTCCCTTTAAAGAAAGGGGAGGATGAAATTGGTGGTAAGAAATCAAACAATAAGATGTCATAACTCTTCAAAGATTTTTTTCAATTTGTTTAATCTATATTCATTATGTGTAGGCATATAAAATGTTAACAAGTTATGGCTACATGATGGAACGATTTTTATTTTACCATATACTTTTAGCTTCTTCCCTCAAATTTTCTATAATATATTACTTCTAAAATTATAAAAAAATAACATTTTTAAACAAAAAGCTATTAACCCCTACATTCCTTTGGACTATTGAAAATATATGTCCATACCGTTCTTAAATTTCTCCAAAATCTTAGTTTATCTACCTCTTCTGCCATGGTGATCAATTTTACACCCATGGCTTAAAACAGTCCTCACCTGTAAGCAGCTGCTCAGACTTATCAGGCTGTGAGCTGAAAATTCTACTGTTGAGGCATGACTTGTAAGAAAAGAATGACCGACATTTGGGGAAAAAATTTGCACTATATGAATTGTCAAAATTCTACATCATTACTTCTATCACCCCTCTTTATCGGTTTCTATTTCCAAAGAAGTCTACTGTGCGTTTAAACAAAACAGTCAGGTGAAAACAGTGAAGAGAATGGCTCTCACCAGAGAAGCCTGATAGTGCTAACACCAAGCAAAACTCGTTCTTAATGTCAAAGCAATGCTCCTCACTCTCATCTTGCTGCCAAACTCTTCAGAATGTCAAATTCATTTGTGTCCTCAGTAAGAATTTAATCATGGACACAATCTTAAAAAGAATATTGTTACATATTACAGTTTTTAACTGGAGATATGATTTATATCAAAGAATTATTTAAGAATTGGGTATTCGGGGCCGGGCTGGTGGCATAGTGGTTAGGCGCACACGCTCCACTTCGGCGGCCCGAGGCTTTACAGGTTCGGACCCTGGGCATGCTCTGACGCACTGCTTGTCGAGACATGCTGTGGCGGCATCCCATATAAGGTAGAGGAAGACGGACACCAATGTTAGCCCAGGGCCAATCTTCCTCAGCAAAAAAGAGGAGGATTGGCATCAGATGTTAGCTCAGGGCTGATCTTCCTCACCAAAAAAAAAGAATTGGGTATTTCCATTACTTACACACGTTTTTTACATCCCTTTATAGAAAAAGACCAAGAACACTGGTTGGCATAGCTCAATGAAATCAAACTGTAACTTTAAAAAATTCATTCTTTCAGGTAATATGTAAAATACTTACAGAAACAAAATATACTCTCCTGTATTAAACACAGAAAACCACTATATTTAATAGTTTTAATTCTGAAGTTCACACTTAAAAAAATGTCTCAGTGTCACCTAACTACATGACTAGAAAACATTTTAATTCAAACTAGCTAAGAAGAAAATTTGAATAATGCAGCACCCCCGAATCTGCAGAACCTATATTTTGCGTGAATAGCCAATCCACAAGCAGCCCTTACATCTTACTGTAGTGAAGACGTTCACACTCACTATTGAGTCCTGTTTTATCTAACATATTTAAACATCACTTATTCAAACAATAGACCACAACAAATACTTCAACAGAATTTAACTTTTCATTTAGTGGCCACCATTACAGGCACTTCTGAGTAAGGAAGTCACCTAGAAAATCAGTGCAACGTGCTGTTCAAGGTGAGCAGCTTTAGTCAAGATCACATGACCTCCCTGCTTGGACGGCAACAATTTATTAAAAAGGAGCCAACACAGTTTTTCTCCAGGGAAGCACTTTATGACAGAAAGCTGCATTAGTCTCAACATAAGCTATATCAACTGCAACTTTAACGAACAAATCAGATTAAAATTTTAACATATACTCTGAAATAATATCAAAAGAACATTATCACTCAGAAAGCAGGTTTTTAATTTATACGCCATATTTAAATTAAAATGTAACCTTTCTACAACACATCGATGTATTTGACATGTAGCAATGGTGGATTTAGAACCAAATACTGAACCAGAATTATAGGATTTTATTCTTTTTTTTGACAAGGGCAAAAAAAAAAACAAAACCTAAAGATTCAAAGTCATACGTGGTTTTTATTAACAATTTTATCTTGGATCAAGGATTTCTTCCAGATTAAACCAGACTTTCACTATAAAATATCACACAGCTAACTTCTTTAAATTCCCCAAACATAAAACCAAACTCTGTATTGTAATCTAAGGGCAGACACACAAAGGCAGCTCCAGGAATGTCCCTTTCAACAAGGAGCACCGCTCCTGTCTACGGCCAACAGGCAGGTTCACTAGAACCTTGGCCAAGGAGCTGTACACTGACAGGCTCTACCAAAAGGTGCAAGACTGGGCGAACAAAGCGCAGTTTTCCATTAACCACCGAGTACACTGTGAACTGGGCGAGAGGGCCCTGGGGCAGACCTTCTGCGGCTGTAAAGGAGCATCATTACCAGGCAGAGATAAACTCCCATCCTTACAGTTCAGGATAGTTCATAGCTTCACACACATTTATCAAATTTCTCTCTAATGAACAAAAGGTTAATAGAAATAGTTTTAATAAACTAAAGTTAAAACACGGAAATTATAGGTTATTAAATAATGAAGAGGAAACTATTTTGTAATTATAAACTCACATAGGAGTTAAACAAAGACAAACAAAAACATGAACAAATTGTGGTATTGTACCTTCTGAAGACATGCGTTTAGGCATAGTAGAGACAGGAGCTGGAGAACCATGAGCAGAGGGGTGAGACGGGGGTCTGGATGGCCGCGAGGGGGGCCTGGAGGGCGGCCGTGTAGGGGTGGCTGCCCGAGGTGGAAGAGAGTTGGGACCTGACTGGTAGCGAGAAGGTGGGCGAGAGGAAGGAGATGGGCAAGGCGATGGCCAGGGAACACCTGACAGAACAAATGATATGAAGGAAAGTATAAAAACTAAAGAAAAAAATGAGGGAAAAAAGTAAACAGAAAAAAAAGTAAAATGACAAAAATGATTTCTTGTACATTTTAACCCTTTGAGGACAGTCATTTGATTTGTGATATGTTTTAGCATAACTTAACTGACACAAATTCACATTTTACTTTAACCTCCTTAAAATTAAGTCTGTTTAAATGAATACACGTTCCCAAAGGGTTAATTAGGATCTACACATACTATCGAAGAAGACAGTTAAGACTTTGCCTATTACTTCTGCTTCTGTAACTGTTTCTCAGTAATCAATTGTTAAAAGGAGTATAACATTCACTAGATAACTTCACACAATAAATCACAAAACTCAGGAACAAGATTATTCACTATATTAGTTTCAGCTTTTGAAACATAATGAAAATAAGCAGCAGCTATTATATCCCATTAAAAATGCTGGTTTCTTATAACCATCTGTGATTTTCATCTAGTTTATACTTGAACGTAAGGTTCAGTTTGAAATCTCATCAAGCAAGTCCATTTAAGTAGGAAAAAACATTACTTCTACTATTTTCTAGAGTCACAGAAGTGACAAAGGTTAATATTCATTGCCTTTTCAAAAAACATTTTAATCTTATCAAATTAGAAAAAGAAGCGAGGCCTTCTACATAATTTATGCAGTTAAACACTTATCTAAGCGACTGCTTAATAAACAGTGCAACTACAGAGCAGTCATCACCAAATAAATTGACACTGACGGATATGCACAGGTCAAAATACAGCTAAACATGTAACATGACAGATCACTTACCTTCATCTTAGGAAACAGTCCAGGTCTCCTCTCCATAGGGTTCCACACACTTGAGTATCATACACTTCCCAGCCCCCTTCAGGTTTTTACTTTGAAAGTTCTGTTCATGAATAACTAAAATTCTTTACTCAGTGAGCAAAGAAATTTCACCCCCAATACTAAGTATAGAAAATACTCAAGAGTGTTCATTTGGAGAGGAATTCTGGAGAAAGACTCAATGAAAACAAATGAAATTGGAAACTTAGTGTTCTCTATTTTTCTAAATTTCCAAACTTCAATACCTAAAATTGGATGCCCACTTTTCAAAAACCCCTAAGCTAGTTAACACATTATTGCTATTATTAATTACTGTATTTCCATACTGTCTACAGTACTGCTGCCCAGTATCCCTGACTTATATGAAAGATCCATGATCTATCAGCTATATTCAACCTAGATTTAGAGGTAAAGTAGAAAAATATCTTCCTACTAAAGATTCAAGTTTCTTTTACTCTACTTTAGCTAAACTACAATATCCACCCTTACACTAAAAGCTATTTTTGTTTTTTTAAGCATACTAGCTTCTTTACCTTCTTCACATGACTCTTGGTCATGTCTTATACTACAAGTTACCTCAAATCCTTTCTTGAAGTAAGCGCAATATAGATATATAAACAAACAGTTAATGAAAATGAATCTATATTAACCACTGATTGTTTCACACAGATTAGGATTTTCCATATAAACTATGTCTAAATAATTTTATCATCCAGTGTTTTTAAAATTGAGAACCTACTCAAAGTTTCCAATTTCTTTATATGTGGAGTGTTTTTTGGCCAAGTAAATGTCTCTGGTTAAATTTAGCACTTTATATTAATACTCTGTATTTCATCATACTAAATAGTGCATATGCCAATAACCTATACTAATTTTTACTAATTTTACTAATTTGACATCCACAAAGGTAAACTTCAAATAATTTTGAAATGAAAACTACTCCACAGAAATCATTCAAGGTATGCATGTTCTTACCAACTATGTAAACTTGTAAATAGTCAAAAAACTATGTATTTGATTGATGACATTGACAAATTTGGTCAAAATACTTGCCTCCATTAACTACTCTTTGGTCTGAACCAGAATTCGGGTTGAAATCTGAAGTGTGAGAGGTGGATCTTGATGGCATGGAGCCCGATCCAGGCTGGCCCATACGCGGTGAATTCTGTCTCCCACTTCCCCAGGATATGACTTCTCTATTTCTTTGTCCAGGAGGAATATATTTATTTTCCCTGAAAATGAGAGATCCTCTAAATCATTTTATCCTAACAGGTACCAGGCCAATGAAACATATCTAAAAGTAATTTAGGCGGAAAGGAATGCTTGTCATAAAAAGGTTAAACACTAAACAAACTGCCTCACTCCCAGACACCCCTATTCTTCCATCTTACCCTGAGTTCTAGCCTCTGGCCTTTCCTTTCCCTCAGATTCTCCTCCTAAGCACAAAGATTAACAGATGTGTGTTCATTCTCATCCTACGTGGCCTCCCTATGGCTGATTCTATTAATCACGGTCTGTCTTGAAATTTTCTTCTTCCTTGGCTTTCTCTACACTTTGTTTTCTCTGAGATCTCTTCTTCCTCTGTGGCTGTTCACTGGTTTTTCATGGCTTCAATATCAGCAATGCCGATGAATTCCAAATCCACACTGTCAGCAGTCCCACAGTCTCAACATCTCCACTAAACACTTTGATTAAAATCACCAGACTCTAAGCTGTGAGTACCTTGAAGACAGGATGTATATCTTACTGTACCAGTTATGTAGTAGGTGTTTCTCAACATGTTTAGGAATAAATGAATGAAAGACCTGTGAGCCCCTCAAATGCAGTAAATTGCACAAATGGACTCAGTCTATCTCCCCTCAAACTTGCTCCATGTTTTCTACCTCCAGTAGAACAGTACAACCAGAAATCTGCTTAGTTATCAAATAAGCCTCAGGGTCACCCCTGGTTTTTCTAACCTTTCTATCACCAGTCCTGGTCTAGGTGGCTGCCAGGTTCTCTACTTGAACTGTTTCAGTACACTAACTGGTCTCCACGTTTCAGCCAGCTCTCAGTGTCCCAGGTTCGTGCGCACCGTCCCCGCCTACAAGGTGCTCTTGACCGTGACATGCAGTCCTTTTTTACCTCAGTTCCCACCACCAGCTGCCACCACTGTTCCCTCCACGCACACCCTATACTCCAGAGATATGAAACAACTAGCCTTTTCCAGAGCTAGCCAGGTCCTTCACATGTCTTCTCACCATGCGAGAAATTTCCCTTACTTCTCTTGGAGTGGCAGACAGATCTAATCACAAAACGTCACCTCCTCTGTGAGGCTTTCTCTGATCCCACAAGTCATGCTAGTTCCTCCTCACTCGGGACGTTCCTAGTACTTTGAACATACCTCCAATCTAGCAAATCATATTGAACCGTTATTATGTTATATGCATCCCCCGACCTGACCATTGTTTCTTTATGAGCTCTTCCAGACCCTGGCTTGCTCATCACTATATATCCAACACTTAGTTCCACAGATCTGACACTTAAAAAATAGTTTCCAAGATTACTATAATCTTTTCTCTAACAGAATCTTAAACCAGTTCCATTTGCATTCTCTACCTAAGCTACATTAAAGGAAGATGAAATATAATAATAATAATACACCTTCTCACACAGACCTTGAGTTGTGTATCCAAAATACTGCATCATGATTTCCTTTAAATACCTAGTGTTTATGCTGTGGCCCTCACGTTCACTGGAATTTCTCTGAACTGCTGTGTATTTTTCTTCTTCGCTCCTATCATCATTTTCCAGGGCCACTCGGGCTTTGTACTGGGCACTTGATTCAATTTCTTCTGCTAACTGGTTTGCCCTTGCTTCTCGTTTTAAAAATTCTTCTGAGTTATCCCTTTCTAAGGGCACCCTGAAACATGAGGAAAAGAAAGAGCAAAGTGAGTATTTTAAAGTCAGAATTTATATATCTGTCACAATCAACTATTAAGGGAATTTAGAGTTTGAAATGCTGGTAAAACAGTAAGAGAGTTACAGCGATCTATTTATTTATAAATCAAATTTGAATTTTTTTGTTACCTTTTCCCTAGAGAAATATAACATTTCCAAAACTGGCTAAATTGACTATCCCCCCATAACCTCTACACTTGCAAATCTAGAGTTTTTACAACTTAAAAATAAAATTTGAGCATAACATTAGGGTATAGGTAAAGTACATTTACTCTCTGTTTTAATGGGAATTTATCAGCCTAGGTAGTAACAGGATAATTCTTTCACATAACTGAAAATCCAACAGAAACATTTACTCAACATCATAATTTAAGTTGATGAAAATCAAAGACAAATGCACCAAAATAAAAGCAAACTTTTTAAACTTACGTATATGATGATAAACTGCTATCATATGTAGACACTACACCATAATTTTCTTCATTATACCGAAACATATCATTGGGATCCCATCCATTAGACTAGAAGAAAATGAAGCTCATTTTTCAAAATGACAAAGTATTTGTCATCTTTAATTCAATTCAATCAATATCTACATTAACAATATCTACCATACCATACTAGCAAAATCTAGCAAATTTAAAAAAATCGGCAAAAATTTCCTTTGAAAATGTTTTAAGGAAAAACTTTTCTTCTACATATCAGCCCCTACAAGTTGGTAAATAACTATACAAAACAACTACTTGAGACGTGATTAGTAAAAGTCTAGAACATTTTAGTTACTTCATAAAATATGAGCCTTCAGGTCAGGGTTCTCGCCTTTCCCTACTCCCTATCATTTTTCTATCGATTTACCGAAAACCTTTTTGAGTTGACTGATCATCAGGTCTGTGCGAGGCAAGGGGTGCTTTTGGACAGCCAAAAATATTTCCAGTGTTTTAGGGGAACAAGGGGAGAAGCCAAAGCCTTCCCTGCAGCATCACTGTTTCAAGGTAGGAGCGTGGTACTAGATCTCCACCATCCTCCCCTTCCTCCTGGGCTTGCTCAAAGGGAAGGCAGCATGCGTGAGGGAACAGTCAATCACTGGACAAAGTCACAGGAGCTGAGCTTGAGAACAGGTTTTGCCATTAGCAGTTGTAGGTCCTCAGCAATGGAATTCGTGCCTTGGTGCCCTAACCTGTAACCTCAGCGTATATAATTCTCCAATTCTATGAGAAAACTACCACTCTCTAAAGCTAGACTGCATTCTTTAATCTGTAAGAATCAACCAATCAGTGGCAGAGGCAGGAAGAATCTTCACTGGTAAACAGTATCTGGGTGAACAGTTCTTTCTAATGTTTCAACTCCTCTTTTAAAGCCTTACTGGTGGAAAGGGGCAAAATACATACAGTGCATAATCATGATCCATCTCAGAAGACAGGACACAGCATCATCCAAGCAACGTTGATGGCAACTTCAACACTACAGCTTGCCTCTAAGGTTACCCATCAACCTTGGGTCCTTCTGCGCTACCCCAAATAAGACTATAATGTAATTCCACCACTAAAGCAACTCCTTAGGCCTAAAACATGTGGGCAGGAAATCAGCTACCTATGGAGGCTTTAAAATTACTTAGGTAGTATATGCTCCATGTAAAAACTCTAAACCATGCCGAAAGACACCCAGTAAAAAGTAAAAGTCTTCCAATCCCAGTGTGCCTAGATAACCACTGTTTTTTTTTTTTTTAATAATTTTATTATTTATTTATTTCCCCCCCAAAGCCCCAGTAGATAGTTGTATGTCACAGCTGCACATCCCTCTAGTTGCTGTATGTGGGACGCGGCCTCAGCATGGCCGGAGAAGCGGTGCGTCGGTGCGCGCCCGGGATCCGAACCGGGGCCGCCAGCAGCGGAGCGCACGCACTTAACGGCTAAGCCACGGGGCCGGCCCGATAACCACTATTAATAATTTCTTGGGCACAATTCCAGACAATCTCTACGCATATATAAGAATACAATCAGTATGATCGGCTCTCTCTTTTTTTTAATTCAAATAGGATCTTCCTGTTTTGCAACTTGCTTTTTCTTTTAGTAAGGCTTGAATATCTTTCCATATCAGAATACCATTCTTTTTAGTGGACATGCTTCCTCAGACAAGAAGCCTAAATGTCATACTTTGACCTCACCTCTAAGTCAAGTCAAGACAATTAAGACACCACTTTCCTTAGGCTGCCTTATTCTGCAGAGCATTCAAAGTAAAACATGCCAGCATTTCCAGTTTCCCATGGTTTCCAATTTAAATTTGTAAGTTGATTGTGATTTACTTTAAAAACACAGAAATAATTCATAAGCATCCCAAAGAAACATTTTTCTGTATTTACTGCCTGGGGGGAAGTCTCTATTTATACAATAAAACTGCTGCTTTAAAATATTCACTACAACAACACACTTCAATTAAAACCAGGTGATAGGATGGCATACTACATCACAAGACCATAGATACTAATCGAAAAGATTTTACTTACGACATCATTTTCCAAAGCCTCCAGTTCCTCGTTGGTAGTGAGTTCACCCGCATCCCAGGGCTCCAGGTCCTTCTCCTTGTGTTCACCATTCACTTTAGCAGTGATAGCAGAGTCAGTAAAAGCATCTGCAAAGGACAGTTTTGGTTGAAAGATCATACAACCGGACAATGGGTTACACCAATACACACATGAATTATCAACAACAATGTGTGCTAAAAAATAATGATGGAAAGTGAATTTCTGATATACAACGAATAACATTCACTAACAGTATTGCCTTCAGATGTGTAAAGCCTCTACTACTATCATCTTCAAAAAACTTAATTCAGTAAATGGCATCACAGATGATTATTAGTGAAAGTATGTTTTTCCCATTAATTTTAAGCCACATGAAATACGTTTTAATGCATTCATACAAGTCATTAAATTATATTAAAAATAATTACTTTGTGTTTCAGAAGTGCCCCAGAAAATTTCTATCAATCCATCTAAAATAAGATCTCTTTTGTTTAATAGACCCACTAATTAGATATACCATCAGAGCTCCTGCAGCCAAACATATGCAGATGTTTTTAACTTTCCAAATCCATGTCTATATGCAGGCGTTAGTATCCTAATATACTCTTGCCATTAGTAACTGAAGCCATTCTAAGTGAACCATCCCTTATTTTTCCCTAAAGTCACTCTATTACAAAGTGCAGGCCCTACAGTGTTACCTCTTCCCAGAAGGTTCAGGTAGCAGGACTACCTGGACTTCCTATCAACACTTCCCTCTCTTATTGAGTCCTCTCTTCCTCTGCTAATGTTACTGAGGAGCACTAGCTTGTAAGCGCAACGTGGCATCAATATGTTCAGCTAACAGTAACTATCATAGCTGCTACCCAGCAAAGGAAATTTTTCTCTAGTTAGGAGTTAGGACCCAGCTAAATAAAGGTCCACTTGGGCAATGATAGTGTTAGGAAATGCTTTGGAGATATAGGCTTGCATTTAAATGGTGGGACCCATAAGGTATCATCTAGCACAGGGTTAGGGAGTGATACTTCTGCTGATCTGGCTCTGCTAGAGGGTACTGGCTCCTAATCATGGTGCCCTCATGTGTACTGCAAGCTGCCACCAACAAGGAAGAGGAAGAGAACAATCAACAGCTGTGTCTCCTTCCAAAGAGACAACTCCAGAGGGATTTTTGATTTGGCACTACTTCTTAACTGTCATCGACTCCCTAGTGGGCAAGGTGATGATGCCAAAATAAGAAATTTGACCCAGCAAATTTAGGCATGGCACCACAAGCCTAGCTAGCTCTTACCTCCTCTCATCCCAAACTAGGGGTGGATGGGTGTGTGTGGGTGTGTGTACACGCACACCAAGGAATAAAAGCATAATTGCACCCAGGGGCGTAGCTGCCAGCTCTACCAGCAGCATGGCTCCCACTGCTAGCAATTATAAGAGCCAAGAGCGTACCAAGGGGCAGGCCCAGAACAGCAGGTCTCAACTGGGGGTAGGATGGAGCATTCACTGGAAGATGACTGCATTTTGGAAAAGCTCTCTAAGAGGTTCTAACAGACTGATGCCATCTTCATAATGCCAGCTAGAAGCCACTGACGACCCTAAAAGCTTGGCTTTGTGCAAGACACTCGCCTGAGTCAAGCGCTACTCTATATCATCTTAAAGTTACACAAATCCTTGGTGAAAATTAATTTTGTCATGTGTATTTTCAAGAATTTGAAACACTCCAAGAAAACATCAAATAATAACTTACATTAGGATGCTGAAATTCCCTACTTTAATTCTCACAAAACTAGAACAGAAAAATGAGACAACAGGAAAATTTCAAACCAGCTGTTATCTTCTGCAAGAAGCAACAGGATTAATTTATATTTAAGATCTCATTAATGTTTTAATCACACTAGTTTTTGAAAAGCATGTATTTAAGTGAATAATGCACTTACTTAAATGGAAATTCAGCATTAAAGATAATACTCTTTACTCAAATTAAAAGTCAAAGCAGCAAGAGGTTTTTTTTACAGAACCACATAAATGGACGTTTTCTCACTGCAGGGTATGCGTGTGTGTACGTCAAAATATTTAGGAAAGACTAGGGACTGAGCCAACCCGTCCTCAAATTGAAAGATTGAAATATACAAGAAAAATAGCTTAAACATACTTTTATCGGTATTATTCTAAACAAAATAAACAAGGATTCCTGAACGGGAGCCAATGTAGAAAAGCAAGCATCTAAAACTTCATTGAATCAAGCTTTACTCTTCTGATCACAATTTAGGCTATAAATTTTTCAATATCACATTTTTACCTTAAATCTTCTGTTTACAATATTAACCTTATAAAGGAATTAACTATTCACATGTTGTTACTTAGCATTATGGTTTTCTTTCAAGGTAGAAATGAGGGGAAGAGAAAACGCAAAAGTAAGTTTCTATTAATAACAAATGATATTCTTTGATTTTAAAATTTCCCCCAAAGAAAGTCCCTTTTTGAAGATGAGTAAAGAGTTTAGGGAAAGATGTATATAAGATGTGCAGAAGTGAAGTGTCAGCACAAAATGAGGCTATAGTAACAGGATGCTGGGGGAAAACTCTGGTCATTGTCAGGTCAACACCATATCATTAGCTAGAAGGAAGCAAGACCTGGATATTTCATTCTACACAGTTACCAATATCCACTACTATCAATTCTGAAAATGCTATTTTATTAACTGCCATGTTTGGATTTCTGAAAAAACATTTCTGGTATTAAATAGTACAACGTTGTAGCCAGAATTTCTGCAAAGTTCAAAAAATAAGGGGGCCGGCCCCACGGCTTAGTGGTTAAGTGCGCGCGCTAGCGGCCCGGGGTTCGGATCCCAGGCGCGCACCGAAGCACTGCTTGTCCGGCCATACTGAGGCAGCGTCCCACATACAGCAACTAGAAGGATGTGCAACTATGACACACAACTATCCACTGGGGCTTTGGGGAGAAAAAGTGGAAAAAAAAGGAGGAGGATTGGCAATAGATGTTAGCTCAGAGTCAGTCTTCCTCAACAAAGAGAGGACGATTGGCATGGATGTTAGCTCAGGGCTGATGTTCCTCACAAAAAAAATAATAAAATAAAAAATAAACTAGCTATTATCTAATTGTAACAGTGGGAATCTGTACGTAGATTTTTCCAATGCTGTAAGTCAGAGTATATTAATTTTCCATTATCCTCTATGGTAAGAAACAAAACTATTATAAAAGCAAGATGCAAGAATACAAAGTGACTGTTAGAAAAACGTTACCTGTTTCTGAAGGAACAACAGGTATAGAAAGAAAAACAATAAAAATTATCAGATGAGAAAATAAAGATTTAAATTCTTCAAGGGCTTCATTCCCTGCCTTATAAACATCCAATTTACAAAAATCTCTAGACTAAAGGCAAAAATGGTACAAGATTATCCTCCCCCCATCCCTGAACCCCCCATGCTACCCCCACAGCAGGTGGGCTCTTAACACCTTCCCTTCCTTCTGACTCTAGGCAGAAACTCAGTCATTCTGGGCCAGTGGTGCCACCTGGCGGTGACTGGAAAGAAATGTCTCAAACAATGCACGGCCTCTCTCCCCTCAGCCCCAGACTCAGGAAATAGAATACACGCTCTGCTCCCCAACTTTTCCTCCTTTACCTCTCGGTCAATTATGACTCTGAAAATTCACTCAAAGTTGTCTGAGAATTTTTTAAAGGGTCATAAAAGTAGTGAACTAAGTAAAATGATAGTCACATACTGTAAATTTAAATTTATTAAAACTACAAAATGACATAAAACTAGACGAAACTTAAAAATTATCAGACTTAACATCAGAATCCCTCAATTGTGCTTCCAGAAGTCTTAACCAAAATCCTCAGCTACCTCATTTCATCTCTCAATTAAATGTGCTTTTTCTTATTGAAATTCTAGATAAATAAAAAAATTTATTTCTATGATATTGTTCTGTTTTGATCAATTATTAATACTGTGACTTTTTTCAACGACTTTTAAAAATAGTTTCTCATCATATACCATCAGTCATATGTGGACTGGTCTATACACAATAGAGTATCAGTTACAGTGGTTGCCAACATGGCAACTAAGAGACCATTTATTTATGTTTAGCATTTACTGAGTACCTACAATGTGCTAGTCATCGAGTCTGGATGAGGTGGGGATTCATATTTGACTAAGACACAATATCCCTGCCTTTTCCTGCAGGAGGTCCCAGGTATGGGAGAGTAGTTACAGACATGAAGCAAATCTTTCAGAATCTAATGTGAAAAGTGCTAAAATATGATTAAGAACAAAGTCTGAGGAACACAAGGCTGTGGCTTTACAAGTAACAGCTGATCTAGGGCTTCAAAAACACAAGCAGGAATTAAGCAGGGGGAAGTAAAGGGGCTCCAACATAGACAAGAGTAGCATTTAAAAATAAAATTTTTCCAGATTGTACAAAAGTCCATAGGCTTCCCCAGGCAAGTGAAATCTGGGGCCAGAGAGATTACCTTTTTATTTTATATTCATCTGTTCTGTATAAAATTTTACACTATGAGAATACACTAAACCATTTATTTTATTAGATAGACCATATTAAAGAACAGCATAAAGAAACAAGATTAGGATAATGAGCACCGTAAGGGCCCAGGGTGTATGGAGAGGAACAACAAAATCAAGGCAACAAGTAGAGGCATTGTCTTCAGGCAGGAGGGAGAAAAAAAGAGAGGACTGCAGGGAGATGGAGCACAAGGAGCCTCTAGACTAGGGATTCTTAACCTTTTTTCTTTCTTTCTTTCTTCTTCTTCTTTTTTTTTTTTTGGTGAGGAAAATTGGTCCTGAGCTAACATCTGTTGCCACTCTCCCTCTTTTTGGTGAGACAGACTGGCCCTAAGCTAACATCTGTGCCTATCCTCCTCTATTTTGTACATGGGACGTCACCACAGCATGGTTTGATGAGCAGTGCATACATCTGTGCCTGGGATCTGCACCTGCAAACCTCAGGCTGCTGAAGCAGAGCACACAAACTTAACTACTACACCCCCATGCCGGCCCCTCTTTTTTCTTTTTTTTGTTTCTTTTTTTTTGTGAGGAAGATCAGCCCTGAGCTAACATTCGATGCCAGTCCTCCT